CCACGACTCCAGTCGTTTTAACCAATCGTCTTATTTTTTTTTTTTTTTTCAATCGGTTCGACAGATATCGATTAATAGAGATCGATAGAGAGAAATGGATATTAAGATAGATTTTATAAGAAGTCTCGCGTGCTTATTCTTTTTTTTTTCCTTTTTGGTTCATTTTTTAAGATAATAATTTAGGATATGGTTCTGTTATGCACGTTCAAGTAGATGTTCGATTAGTTTGTTAGTATAATCATGATCTGGCTGAGATTATAATACGTTTTTAATCGTTTCGATGACCTTTCTGTTGTAGAATTTTGGAGAGCTTCAAGATGCCCAGGAGCACAAGTTTTCACATCCATGACATTCTGCAGCTTGATTCGAAGCCATCTCAGGAGGAAACTGAGGTGCAAGGTAACGAAAGGAGTGATTTTTCTATGAATTTCGAACCGATTTCAGTTCGACCAGATAATTTTTCTTAATAAATCTTCTAATAAAAAGTTTCTCTTTAAAATCTATGCTCGCAAAAAACGTTTCCATCTTTGATAAATCGTTCGAAATAAATTGAAAATATTATGTCGAGTCGATATTTTAAGGGATTTTGGAAATTCTGGTTGCAGGTAGTACCACGGTGCTACCGACCACGAACGATGTTCCGTCGGCATACCAACAGTTTTTCGAGCACACGACGGCCATGTTACAACCCGCGATATACGCGAATCTGAACAGAGGCACCTTACCACCCCCGCCACCCGCTTTATTGGGATGGCCGACCGGTCCAACGTTACCGACCACATTACCTCAGCCTTTGGAAGAGGTGAATGGTAAGTAATAAACTTTTTACGAATTTTTTGAAGCGTGGAATAGGGTTAAATTCACAATTTACCTCTCTAATAATCTCTCGCAATTGTTAAATTGTAAAATACTCTTCGAACAGTGATTGGTTACCAAGAAATAATTCAAATCATCGCCTCTCGCCTTTCGATCAAATTATACTCAACTTAAAATCTAGTGGAAAAAATCTGAAATAAGAATACGAACTGCTTTCGAAAAAATCGTACGATTTTTACTACGAATCGAATGTATGAAATATACGGATATACTTGTGAGAGGTGTGCAGTACGTAGCGTCGAAACCCTTATTTATTTAGCACCCTACAATTGGCCCGCTTGGGCTAAGCAGGATCTAATGGTCCTATAAAAGGTCCTCGTGGGCCCTGTTCACCGATTGGCCCGTGCAAGGGGACAGATGTCCTTTCGAGGGCAGATGCGTGTATCCCTGTGAGGCCCTCGATCAATCGAAATTGTCACGCCCAAAAAATCCATCCGTAGCCTATCGCCTCTTTTCACCTCTTCTCCTTATCTCCCTTCCGTTCTTTTACTTCTTCTCGAATATTAGAACGGTCGACATCGAGAAATCGGGGATTTCATCCCTTTCAAAAGGGTGGAAAGGGTGTTTTCGACCGCCGGGATGGAGAAGATAGATCCCTAACGCGATCGTTTTCGTTGACATGTGATTGTATAAATTTTGTCTTCGAGTTGAAAGAAAACCGAAGCCTCAATAAATCGAGAGTTTCGAAGAGAAAGTTGAAAGTGTTAAGGAAAATTAATAAATGATCCATTTTTGTAGAATTAAAATATATTTACGAGTTTGCAAACAATTGCTTCGATTTTACATTTTGTCAAATTGTAAATACAATGATTCTTATCTAAACTCTATCTCATTTTTTCGATTTAAAATTTACAATGGCGTTTTATGTGTTCAAACTGGAACCTAATTGATCGTCGAATCGTTCTTTTTCGAAGACGTTAACGTCGTCGAGAAGCAAGATGGAAGTGTCTAATTGAAATCACGACGCGACACAGAGGCTGGAGCCTAATCTCCCATGAAAATGATACAGTCGATCCCATGGGGTAGAGGAGGGTATCAAACGCTGTATATTGCTTCACACCCTCCCCAACCAGGCTTACGGCTCGTTCACAAAAGCGTATTGTATGCTCACGAAGCCAGGGACCTCGTCGTTGTACATTAAATTACCGTGTCTCTAGGCCACCGTGGTATTTGCCACTTTAGCCGAAGACTAATCAAAATATTGTTGGATTAAACGGTGAACAGAATCTATCAATATTTCGTTATTATTTTTTTTTTTTGCAAATTCTTCGTGTTTTTTAAATTAAAAAATTGGTCGCTTCGTGATCCTTTTAATATTTTAACGATCAATTTTGTTTCTTCCACTTTATAGGTATGGTTTGGATAGGTTTAAGCAGAAAGTGTATCCGAACGATGAGCAAGCAGTTATTAACGAGAATTGAGTAATCAATACAGGCTTGCATCTGCTTGCAATCAACGTTAGAAGTCGAGGGATAGTAAAAAATGCAGCTGCAGCATGCCTTAGTCATTTTCCAAACGATCTAAATACCTTTCCAAATGACGTTTATCGATTTTTAGAAAAGTAACTATTACAAAATTATCGTCCAACTCGATTCTACTTTAAATTTGCAAAATTTCCAATGAATATTTTCGATTCTTATCAAACACTCATAAACTCAATGACTCAAAATCCAAAATTAAATGCGATCCCTTCATTGGTTCGAAAGATCCTTCAATTTCTAAACAGATCCACGAATTATAGTATTATAATTACAATAAAGAACACAATACTCAACCAATACTCGCTACTCTTCAATTCAACCGACCAATTGTTCCACATTGCAGCATCATAAAACTGCAAAAATTCCAGTGTTGCAGCAACCAGACTCGACCAGCCCGACCATCTCGGATTTATCGTTCCCACCGAAGCAGGAGGCGAACCACGAGTGCAAAGAGGAAGAGTCGGCGGAGTTCGAGGACGAGCAGCAGGCGAACGAGACCCAACCCCACGAGACCGAGCACAAAAAGCGGAAGAGGCGGGTGCTGTTCTCCAAGGCGCAGACGTTCGAGCTCGAGAGACGTTTCCGTCAGCAGAAATACCTGAGCGCCCCCGAGAGGGAGCATTTGGCCTCGATTATTCGGCTCACCCCCACCCAGGTGAAGATCTGGTTCCAGAACCACAGGTACAAGACGAAAAGGGCGGCGACGGAGGCGAGCGGAAGCGGGTGTTCACCTAGAAGGGTCGCTGTACCGTTGCTGATCAAGGATGGAAAGCCCTGCCAGTCCAAGCTGATGGAACCTGCCACGTATCCGACCACGGGCCAGGTACCTATGCCGCCCTACATGCAGAAACCTTATTGGTGGTAAGATGGACTTTCGTTCGTTGAATGAACGAGAATCATTCGTTGTCATCGTGGACTTGGCGGTCGATGGCTGGGATATCTGGAGGATCGATAGAAGGCTGATACGAAACAGTCGAAGACGATTAGTGGTCGGATTTTGGTGGACAGAAGATTAATTAATTAGAAGGTTAATTAATGATTGTTATCGGGAGAACGATTTGTCTTTTCATCGGGGAAGGGAAGAGAAAAATTGTGGATGATATTTGTTGGAAGGACGAGGAAATCTTTTCCAACTGTTCTGGGCGAATTGGTATATCATATGCGACAGAAAGTGAAGGAGATGTTGAAGATTTATCGTCGATCATTGATACTTGAAATATTTGAGATTGTTAGAGAAGGAATAAAATAATTCTTAGATTTTTGGAGAAATTATGAGAACTTTCGTCTTGTTGGAAGAAAAGAGGATTATGGATAATATCTTGATACGGATTTTTTGTATAAACAAGATAAGAAATCTAATTATAAACTGATTTTCGAACAATGAAAGCTGTAAGATGGATTAAAGATTATGGATATATTTAAGTCGATCAAGTAACGGATTTGAACTTCTCATGAACAATATCTAAGGAATCAAGTGAAATATTATCTTCTTGGTAATGTTAAATATGTATCAAAGAATCTTAAAGAAACAGTATACGATCAAAGTGTGAGGATCGATTCGATTCAATTTTAAAAATACATCAACGAATCTTGAAACAACAAACGATCGAGAGATATGAAAAATAAAAAAAATCAATCAGAGAAAGAGAGAAATCGTCAAGAATACCGCGAAGAATAATCCATCCCATAACTGTCAAGAGAATTCCAGTGCAGAAAAGAATCGTTTTTAACTAATATCGTAAGATTATCAAAAATCAAACGTATTATTAGCTTAGATGATTAACAGTAAGAAACGAGTGTTTGCCTGTGAAACTTCGACTAAGTTTACTCGAGTTCTCGTTGTTGAGTAAACGAAGTGTACTGCCAATCGAAGTTGACGATCGACCATCATTCTAACTCGTAATTAAAGTGGATCTCGACGCGAAATTTAAAAATTCGATGAAACTTCTATCGATGAAAGTGTCGTTCGAGTGAATTAAACTGCGTCTGTGTTTCGTCGATTGTATCGGGTATTTGCAGAAGATAATAACCAAAGATAAATCGCGATTATGATCGTGGAGAAATTTGGATGAAATTTGGATACAAACTTTTAAGAGATTTATAAAATTTGTTGGAAAAATAGTGATAATAATTTTGGAATTATTTGGTTGGTTGGAGATAATAATATTACGAATATTCTGTAAATTTTAATCCGAATTCTAAATTTCTAAACTGATCAGACAATTAAAAATATTGTGGTTTATTTTATAATATGATATTCTATTTTTCGAATAATAAGTGAAAAATTGGAATATTTCTAAAATTATTATTTTTAAAAATAATAATCCTGTTTGTCTCTTAAAATGTGTATCTACAATTTCTAACCAATTTATCGATTAGGATGAGTCGCATAAAGTGTTCTAAACTTTCTGATTATAACATTTTACGCCAAAATCGTAACGTAAAAGTGATATAGCGTGAATAAGTAGAGAAATAAAGGAAATAGGTATGCACTGTCGGTCAAAAGTTTGAAATTAATTCTTTGATCTCGTGAGATCTTTAAATTTAAAAAAGAAAATCTTAATTCTGTTTAGTTATAACGTTATCTAGTCAAAGATTTATAAAAACAATCTTGCATTGTATTATAGTATCAACTTAATATATTAATTTTCAAGTGATAGCATTGAATCGTAAATAACACTACGACAATTTGAGTTAGGTTAGGTTTAACCCTCGACTGATATCTTCAAACGATAATAACTTTAATTTTTGAATAAAATTAAACAATTTTATTCAATATTCTATTAAATATAATATTCTATATTAACATTTACTTTATAATCATTAAGTTAGTTATTTAATGATTCTATAAAATATAGAACGATAAATAGAATTAAACATAACCTCAAAAAAAATCTCAAATACATCTATATATAATCAAATTAATCAGAAATTCAAATTCAATAATATTTTCTAAACTTTTGATCAATAGTGTAGATCATTAGATAGATTCACAGTTTCGAGATTCTTTTTTTTTCTTCTCTTTTGTACAAAGTTATCGTTAGCATGTATGTGAATATACGCGTGTATGTATGTATATATGTGTCTCTCACGTTCGTACTTAAAAATAAAAATTCTCATCTACGAATAATAAATAAGCGGTTAAATTAAAATATCTTTTCATTTTCTTACAGAAACATTTTTCAAAATGGCGAAGATTCTTGATCGCTTATATAACAATTCTCCCATTTTCTATCAAATTAATCGCGATAACGAGATAAAACAATAAATAAAGTTCGAACTATTGAATAAAATAATAATAATCATTTCCAAAAAAAATAGTTTATGAAACATGAAATTTTAATCTGAATTGAGTGAAAGGAACAATTTTTCATTATTCAAACGTGTTGGAATATTCTGATTTTATCGAGGAAAAAAATATTGGATAATAACTACTGTTTTATTATTGAAACAATTTCATTAGAAAAATAAATATTGGTAAATTGTATCAACAAGAAGATTTTTTTTTTTTCATATAATTGTAGTACAATGATTCTCGATTGTTTTGTTTTTGTAGAGATCGTTTTGTGGAATGGAGGAGATAATATAGAGCAAGTAATAATTGTATAGAGGGAGTGATACAGTCGATACAGAAATCCCAGTTTATCGCCTTTAATTAGGAAGCATGTAATTAACACGTCGAATAGGTTGTATATATGTACATTGTGTATAATACAGGTAGTAATAATATAACAGATACAGATATTTAATAAAATCGAATCTTAAACAAATTTATTTATTGTCTTTTATCCTTTTCCTTTCGTTAAATAAAATTGAAAATATAGATATTTGTTTGAAAAATATAATATTAAGAGTACAAAATCTAATGTTCAATATATTTTTTTTTAATATTATCCGTCTGATGAAACAATAAAAGACAATATTTGAGATATTTTGGTAATTTTTTAAAGTAAATGTAAATAAAATACAGTGTCATGAGATATTTATTATTTCTCATATCTGATGACGTATTTTGTTATCCAGTATATCGAATAAAACTACTTCACAATTACTACTTCAATTAAACAGATGTAATGATTAAATTATCAGTCAAATCGTATGACATTTTCCACGAAACTTTTTTTATATCAGGTATACAATGATAAATAGTTTTCGTAACGATGATGAAGTAGACTTT